ATATGACTAACTTTGTTATTTTGAAACCGATTTGCTTGAAACTTAAAATCTGTTATATATTAATGATTAGTTGTTTTCGTTTATATATATTGTATTTTCCCCTAAGTTCTATTTTGCATACTTAAAGTTTTCAGGACCTGAAATAGATAACTTATAAAAAAAACAACACGTCTGTTATTTTTTTTTTTGTTGTAATCTTTTAACATTTGGCTATTCATAAGGAAAACATTATGGAAAAACTCAGAAGAGGGCACATCTGAAAAACTATTTTATGGAGAATTTGATTTTATTATTTCAACTAGTTTAGAAATAGCGAATTTTGATCGTTCTACATTAATTCTGCTATTCCTTTTTTGTTGAATAAGGATATTGCTATTCAATGTTTTTTACATATAAACAGATTCTTTTGTTGAAGCTTTCATTTTAAAATACAGATAAGTCCCTAGATCTGTTCTTTCGTTAAAAAACAAAACGATAGTATATATATTCGTTAATATTTGAAGTACCTTTAAGAGAACAAAAAACCATATAAAGCTAAAAGTAAGAAAATTTTCATTTTAAAATTCTCACATAGATTTTATAAAATATTAAATGTTTTAGTCTTGATTATTCAAAGAAAAAACAAATTTAAAACTGCAAATGTCGCAAGTTTCCTTTAACTCTACTCCCTTGAGAAGTTGAAGAACTATTCTGAAAAATAAAAAATAAATGAAATAAAAGAGAAATATTTGATACACGAACAACGTTATTAAGTTAGTATGAAGTATAAAGAAGCCTTGAAAGTATTTTGCGTAAAATGGCAAAAACAACGACGAACCCAACGACGACAACAACTTCTCAATTCCCAAGACGTGTACGGATGTATGTTGGATCACTAAACAACGACAATCTGTTTTGCTGCTGAGAAACTTTTTCCTTAGTTGACTTGGCGTCGATTTTGTTTCCAGATTTTTGCACAAGCAAATAAAATTTTATGTTGGTCTATAATACGACAAAAGAAAATTTCTGCAGAAGAAGGAGTGGAGCCCTAACGGGCGTCTTTCAGAATTTTAAAATGGGTAAATTGTTTGAGTACGTAAATGTGTACGTACACACGCAGGGCACGTAAGCATGGGAGTTACACTTTTGTGTAAATCAGTAAATGCTAAAATATTTTTACGTAAATCGTTTTTACTTTTGTTGTAAAACAAAAATCGAAATACTAAAAAGGATTACAAAATCTTCAAATTTAAAACATATTAAACTTGAATCCTTAATCAAGTTAATGTTATAAAAATTACTAACACTGTTTAGCATAATTACTTTCTACTCTTAAATAATTAAAGTAGTTATTAAAAGGAATGAGAAGTACATAGTAAAATAGTTAACTTAATTTTTGTTATCTTATTTTATTTTAGTTCTATCAATTCGTAATACCCAGGAAGAGGAACCACCAGATCCACAATTGATGCGTTTGGATAATATGTTGATTGCTGAAGGTGTTGCCGGTCCTGAGAAAGGTGGCGGTGGAGCAGCTGCTGCTTCTGCTGCTGCAGCCAGTCAAGGTAAATAATATATATTTTTAACTGATGTACAGAAAAAAATAAAAAAAATCCTAATTTTTTCCATTTTAAAGTAGGTTCTTCCCTGTCTATTGATGGAGCAGATAATGCCATTGAACATTCAGATTATCGTGCTAAGCTTGCTCAAATCCGACAAATATACCATCAAGAACTGGAGAAATATGAACAGGCATGCAATGAATTCACTACTCACGTAATGAATCTACTCAGAGAACAGAGTCGCACCAGGTATAGTTTGATGTTAATTACTTTTATACTATAAATATGTATATGTTAATCACCACTAAGACGTACAAGCCCACGGTTAAGTTTGTTTAAGTTGTTAAGTTTATTGCAGTTCAATATTTCTCAGTTCAATATTTCTCTATTCTGGGTTCTCGGTCATAGGGATATTTTCGGCAATTCCAAAGCAGATGAGCTAGCCAGACGGAGTGCTTCAGGAAACAACTCGAACAACCTAAACAATCTTGTCATATCGTTGACATCATGCAAATTTGTATTGAGTTCTTGCGATATGCAGGCATCTGTATGCAATGTGGCCATAAAACAACAAATGAAAATCGAAATCTCTCTTAGAGATGCCCCGCAGAGATATCATTCTTGTAGTAGGTTTACTAACAGGTCATTGTATTCTAGGTAATTATGTTAGGAGACTGAATCTCCCTTTCAACGATTTTTGTCGCAGTTGTGGTGAGGATGACGAAAGTGTCTCCCACCTGCTTTGTTTCTGTCCGGCACTTACGCGGCCTTAAATTTTTGGTGGCTTTCTTTTTTGAGGATCTTGGCGAACTTCGAGACCTCCACCTAAATAGCATTATAAGCTTTGTCAAAGGTTCTAGATGGTTTTAGTTCTTGGGTTTTCAGTAAAACAGTTGCACAATAGGCCTATGGGCCTAAGTGGATCCCCTGGGATCGCCGGTATAACCTAACCTAAGTTTATTCCTAACATTGCTTTCCAATAAGCAGTAACCTGGTACTGAAAATGTAGTGTAAACAGTTGAAGTAGATACCTGGTACGTTTCTTATCCAGTTTGGATCTGGTCGGTATTGAAATCTGACAGAAGGGTTATTCATCTGCCCAATTTTGTTTAGCTATTCCTGGTGTAATTAGGTTTTAATATAATTATAATCTACAGTATAATATTTTACATTATCACGTATAAAAACTAAGACCTACTAGTTATAAATCAGTAGCTTTCAATATGTGAATTATTTAAGGTCTCACTTTTTAATATACAAGACTCACTAACTTCAGTTATATCTAATTACAATATTATTGACAAATAAGTAAATATAATTTACATAAATTATTGTTTTGACGTTCCTAAAAGGATTGAATATGTTCATTTAGGACATATTCGCAAAAATTTCCCACACCGCATTTTCAAACCACTTGGTATCAATAATAAATCTGACAAGTTGTATTAAGTCCATTGTGCTCAATTTTGCTAGAGAGAATCAATTACTGACATAACAAATGTTACACCGCTGTCTTTGTACTCTCTTTGTGACAGCTTCTACAGAAACCTTAACTGTGAGCACTCAATCCAGTCTCGATATACCCATTAAGCATTGATCTGTAATTTCGAACGTAATCGGATTATCATACATCTCTTATAATCAAAACTTTTTTATTTTATTGTTTATTGTTTATATCTAAGAAAATATTTTATATTATATTTAATTAATCCCAAATCTACAGATTCTTAAGTCCAAATAATCATAAATAGGAATAGCAGCTGTATTGTTTTACATTATATTTTGTTATTATATATTTATATATTATTATTAAATTTTGTTCGTTTATGTATTGTGTTGTATATATATATATTTCAATACTTATTTATTACAATACTCACTTATTACAAATTAATAAATGAGCTAAAAAAAATTCTAATAAATATAATTTTAAAAAACTGATAGTAATTTCTGGACGATGGATTAAAATTTTTATTCTTAACGCTTCCATTTTACTATAAATATAATTTTTTTAATAATTTTAAAATACAGCAAAGTCCTTTTATGTTATAATTGTTAGACTTTACTATGCGATAGTGCACCTGTAGTCTCAGGTCAAATTTAAAGTTTACTTAGGAAATAATATTCATAATATTTTTGAATTAAAAAAAAATGTTAATACTGTAAACTAATAAATCATAATAATTAATATTTTATATTTACTTTATATTACTTACTTTTCTTGATATTAACTTTATACTTTTCCGATTTATTTTATAGACCTATAACTCCCAAAGAAATTGAGCGTATGGTACAAATTATCCACAAAAAATTCAGCTCGATTCAAATGCAGTTGAAGCAGTCTACTTGCGAAGCAGTAATGATATTGCGATCACGGTTCCTAGATGCCCGACGTAAGCGTCGTAATTTCAGTAAGCAAGCGTCGGAAATCTTAAACGAATATTTCTATAGTCACTTGAGCAATCCTTATCCATCCGAGGAAGCCAAAGAAGAATTGGCACGTAAATGCGGTATAACAGTAAGTATTTCAGACTAAAATAATAGTTTAGTAATATACTAATATCGTAAATTTTTTGATTTTTTTCATGTAGGTGTCACAAGTTTCTA